TCCCGACTATTCTTTGATATATAGAATGGTGTATTTGAAAGTGTTATATGTTACAAGTTTTACCTAGTCTTTAATTGGACGCAAATACTGTATCACGTAAATATCTACATTATTTATTATTTATTCGGCATGAGCACGATACGATTATTGTTATCGCTAATGTTTTAGTAATTGCTCGCATTCAAAAATGTCACTAGATATTTATACTTTATTCTAAAACTTTTAAAAAACAGTACATATTTATGTATGTAGTATGCAAATGTGAGATATTTTAAAATATTTCCTAAACTTCATCTGTCAATTTATAGGTAGTGTCACATGAACATTTGAACAAAATTGAATGTACTTTGAATATGACGTAGTCTGAACACAGATTTAATAAAAACAAAAAAATAATAGTAATCTCATCTTGTTGCTAATCAAATGTAAGTTATATTTAAAGTTTTACAACCATACTATACACAAAATACACGAATCATTAAAGTAAAATTATTACTAGAATAAAAATGTTTAAAAAAAAAATACATTCATACATTACTTTGTTTAATAGCAAAGCGAAATATAAGCATAAGAAGACAATAACAAAATGACTGGAGACACAAAAAACTTCAAATTTTTCGCAATCTGAAAAATAAGTTGTTGTTTTACGGTTTTTCCTTTCTACTTCTTCTAGAAATCTGGTACCATTCCTATTACAACTTAGCTGTTTATAATCAGCCATTTTGGCTAAATTTTAAATTTTAGGAAAGAAGACATGCCAAATGATGTATGGTGCATCATTGTGCTGCTGATGGGAATTTTTTGTTGTTTTTGTTTTTTTGCATTTTTTCTCTTTGTTAAGAAGTTTGACTTGAATAGACTTGAAATGCAATGTTATTGTTGTATTGAAACAGTTTCTTCTTTTTTTTTTAATAAAATTTAATTTTGATTTAATTTTTCTCATCTTTTTTTAGTTTATTCCTAACAAGGTGAACTTATGGTATTTAGACAAAAAACAAAAAAAAAGATTCATTTAGAAAAAAATAAATAACTTCAAGTGATCGAAATAAAATATCGACGATTTTTGCTTTTTCTTTTTTTTTTTGTAAAAATAACAAAATAAATCAATTACGATTCTTGGAGTCTTAAATTCAAATAAAATTAAAATATTTTATGAACTTGTTATTTTATTAATATAGCGAAATTAAAAATATTTCAAACGTTTTATTTAATAAGATTGTTTAATAAATCGGACCATTTTATTTTGACATTTCAAGAGAATTACATACATACATACAATACGATTCCGCCGAGACAAACCTGGCCTCCGATAACGTCGGAGGCCGATCCACCCGTTTTCACATACGGAGTTTAACCTGAGCAATTAAATGTTGAAGTCTCTTTTCTTTACCTGTTAACTGGAGTGTCTTTCAGGCAGAAGTAGTTGCGATTGGAGAGTCTCTGTGACGGCTTGGCGATAAGGTAATTGCCAGCAAATAGGCAGAGTTAGTATTTTCATAGATTTAGACAGCAAGGCTGCGATAAGGAAACTAGAGTCTTAGATCTTAACGTTCTGAACAGTCCTAGATTGGAGATTGTCTCTTAACGAGATGGCGGGTACCTAGAATTAAATTTGTTTTGGGTCCCCGAGCACAGTTCCACTGAAGTGTAAGAAATTTCGAAACATGGAACAACCTTTGGGATTCTTCCTGGTAAAAAGAATCTGAACACGCCTCTAAGTATCCACAGGCTTTTATTGTGCAACTCGACAGTGGAATGGGCCAACCTTAGATGGGCAGGTAGAACAACTTTGTTAACCTAAATTGGCACCCTGTAATATATTTAAATAAGAATTTTCAAGGGAGGCAAAGTTTAGTCGAAATTATTCTATAATTGAACTCTTCCCTACCGTTGCGTTGCATATCGAACATCCAGTTTTGAACTAAGAGTCAAATTGTTTATAAAATTTAGGGTGCGGAATTTAAAAAATTGTATTGTTTTTCATATGAAACTAAAACAAATGCTATGAATTTTGTCTAGTCCTTGACAAAATACATATTTAATGCAAAACTATTTTCCATTAGTATTTAAGTGAATAAAATTAATTTAAGTTCAGCATTAGACATGAAATAATAAATTTAATAAAACAAGTTTTCCATCTTAACATAATTTTCAACATCGTTTCTCCAATTCAATTAAATACCAGCATCTTCGCTTATAAAAATAAATAAATCATTGTAAAATAAAATAATTTTTATTTTTTCGTAATAAGCATATTTTAAATTCGACATACTTATTCAATAATTTTATAGAAGTTTTTTATACATGGATGTATGTATATATGTAGTTATATGAAATAAAAAATTATTAGCACCGGATTGGAATAAATCAGAATTAGTGTTGTACAAAAGATTATTTGAAATCCAAGTTTCAGGTTAAATTTTTGATTTAAAATTAAAAACGGACGGAATAAATGTTAATTGTTATTTCAAAATTTTGAGAGATTTATTTTTGTTTACTTCACAGTTGGCAAAACGAAAAAAAAAATAAATAATTAATCTTAACTTTGTCTCCGTTACAATACTGCAATATTACGCAATAATAAAATCAAATATGCATCTATATGTAAGTACATACGTATATAGTTTTCAAAGATACCGCAATAATAAACTAATCATTCAATACAAGTTTATGATACTAAATTTACTTTTACAAACAAATAAATCCTCCTACATGATACCTTGCAAGTGACATTTATGAAGTGAAATGAAATTTTAAATAAAACAAATTGTAACTTGTTATTTTAAAAATACCGTAATAAGAACATTACAAACACGAAAATATGTGAATGAATAAATAAATATAGAATGCAATTATAGAACGTTTAAAAGAAATCGTGCATACTAAATTTACTAACTATAAGTTGGAATTTATTTAAAAAAAATTTAATAAAATTATTAAATGTCACTAAGAATAAAATAAAATAACAGAATATTTTGGATTTTTATAGTTTTTGGATTAAAATATTTAGGGAAACAATTAATCACACTCAAAATGGTTAAAATCAAATGACAAATAAATTTAAACCATAAATTGAATTTTACGAAAATTAAATCTTTACTTAATTATCATACAACTTTAGACTCTAGTGCACTCAGATTATTCCTCTCATCGTGTCTTTCTCACTGTACTTATAAGTTTTAAGTAAACACTACACACTCTCTTTTTTCTTTTTATACCCGTACGAACGTATGTTCGAAGGGTATAGTAAATTTGCCTTACCGTTTATAACGCTAAGAAATAACAGTCTTAGATATAGACTCAAGTGTATGTTTTTGATCAGCGCCGAATTCTGAGTTTATTTAGCTTTGTCTGCCCGCCCGTCCGTCCCAACGATAACTCAAAAACTAATTGAGCTAAGTTCACCAAATTTTCACAAATGATTTATTGTACTAAGTGGCAGAACCCTATTTAAATTGGACATGATCGGGGTACCAGTTCGGGTAGCTGCCATACAACTTTAAAATTTATTTGGCTATATCTCAGAAACTCTAAAAGCTGTGGTATTGAAATTTCATACAAGCGAATATATTAGCAGGGCCGATATGCTTGATAAAATTCGTTAAAATTTCTTGGCCCTTTCTGGTAGCTGCCATACAACTTGAACAGTAGTTTGGCACACACAGTATTTTGAAAAACACAGTACTGACATTTTACATAAATTAATATGGTAATACGGCAACTTAAAGTCATAGTCTGCCCCATAGTCAGTTATGGCATATTTATTCGAACGTATAGCATAACAAATTCGTACAGGTCAATTCTACGGGACGCGGTCAACTCTTTTTTTTCTCGTTGTGTTTATTTTTACGCAAAAACTCAAAATAAAAATTTCATTACCTTTTTATAATTTTTAAAGTTTTTATTAAATATTTCTTATTTGACATAAAAATAAAATTTAAGATGGCGTTATAATTAATTATTGTATACGTTTAATATCAAATCACATCTTAAAATCACGAATTATTTATCGCATTTTTTTTTTAACTTCCAAATTCAGTTTTATTTTGTTTATATTGCAATATTTTTTGATTTGTTTTTGATTTAAATCACAATTGTGTTAACTTGAAAGATTTTTTTGTTAGTTTTTGATTTTATTAAAAATCATGATTACAAATATAAACTAAATTTTATCATAAAAAATTTAAAAAATTTGGTAATAATTTTTTCACTTTCGATTTTGATGATCTGTCAAAAATATATTTTTAGGTTTAAAATCACTTTGCTTGCACTATTCATTCATAAGTTTGTAACACGATGTAGCCTTTATAAGCGGTTTTTTTCTGTTTTAAAAAAAAGAAATTTCCAAAAAAAAAATTTACAAGAAATTACAATGACAAGACAATGAGTATAAGAACACCATGTGGATTTTATAATAATTTTTAAAAAATATACAAATATTTTCATTACACTCTTTGATTAGATAATTTTTTAAAATTTATTGATAAAATTATTGATTTTAGGATAAAATATGGCGATAAACTATATGTAAGCAAACTATTAACTTTCTATAAAAAAACGTTTTCTAGCTATAGAAAAACACATTTTGTAATTTAAAAATTAAAAAAATTTCCATTTAAATAATAGAAAAATTAGAGAAATTCACTTATAAGTAAGTACGTTTTTAAACCGGTAGGGTTAGAAAGAATAATAAAATTTTACATTATACAACAAGTACATTAAGATTAATTGTGAATGTACGAATTGTGAATTTAATTTGACATTTTGGAGTTTTCTTAAAAAAAGTAAAATAATTTTAATTTATGGATTGTAAGCAATAAAAATATCGTAAAATTTGAAAAAAATGTTCTCCTATTTCCAAGTTCAAATAAAAAAAATGATTACTTATTAAATTTTAAATGTGATTTAAAGTCAAAGACAAACCATAAAAAATATAAAAAAAAATACTTTTTTTTTTAAAAAATGACATCTAATTTTGTTTTTCTTTTGTTCTTTTACAGCTTGTTTTGGTGAAAAGAAGTTTTAAATAAAAATTTTTCATCCCCCCTGAAAATCATTTTGACCAAAAAATTAAATCCGAAAGAAACAGGTAAATGTTACCATCATATAAGGTGAAAGGATTACAACCAATTTATTAATAAAAAAAACAAAAAGCGACAATAAAATAAAACCGGTAGTGGCGCCAAAATTAAAAAAAAAATATTGGAATTTGATAAAAAGCAGAATAGTAATAAATTCTTCTAAATAAATTATGATAATAGGGGAAAAAATGAATTTATCAAAAAAATCTCACATAAATAACATTCCAATAACAAGAACAACAACAAAAAGGCCACCAAATCTTTTATCTGTGATAAATAAATTTTCACTTTTAGTGTTTTTTGTAATTCAATTAAACATTTTGAATGAATTACAACATGTAAATGCTTTAGAGAATGGATTAGCTCGTACACCACCAATGGGTTGGTTATCATGGGAAAGATTTCGTTGTAATACAGATTGTGAAGGTGATCCAGATAATTGTATAAGGTGAGTTGAATTTTTTTTTGTTTGATTTTTAAAATACATTTAGTATAAATTATATTTTAATTTTAGCGAAATAAATTTTTTTTGGTAGGAATTCTCAAAATATTCTATGATTATTCCAAAAAATTTGCGATTCAAAGAATTAGTATTGGAATTAATGTATGGCAAGTTGAATAAACTTCCACAGAAAATTAACTTATTACCTCAATTTTATTCAAAAACAAAAATTCTTAAATTTACATTATTTGTACTATAATTGTGTGGCAAGGTTAGGAAACTTTAATTTTTTGAAATTTCAAATTTTAAATGCCTTGTATACCAACACTGTGTATTGTTCTTGTTTCAATCAAAAATCTGAAGACCTGTAATTAAGAGCAATCAAAAAAGGTCTTTTCCCTTCTTTTCGATTTCAATTATTCCACATTATACGAAAAAACAATTATTTTTAGGATAAATTTTTAACAAACTCTGCATACAGTATATTAACCATGTACATATACATATATACACATTCCATTCTTTCTTCTTATACCATAGACATATTCTTGTAAAAAGACAGAGAAGGTAATGGGAGCGAACTGCAATATTTGTTTTGCTTGTAGTTATTTCTTTTGTTCCAAAAAAAATTTATTTCTCAGCATTTTCGTTGATGCATGTACAAACTTTTTTTTATAATAACAGGGTTATTACCAAGAAATAAAAACGAAACAAGTATTTGGACTTACAATTTGAGCGTCTTGTTTAACTATTGTTAGCTTGTTAGTTATAAAAAAGCAATGAAAATTATCTAAATATTACAATTTCGGTTTTTTTTTTTGCAATTTCATGGGATATTTTGACATTGATAGCAAGAAATTAAAAGAGAAAAAAATTTCATTTGATTGTTTTGAAAAACTAAAAAAAAAAAATTATGCGGAGTAAAAATTGGAACGTTTGAACTTCTCAAAAAAAGGTTTTCAATTTTTTTCTTGTTTAAATTTTACAAACTCACCTTTAAATCCATTCAATGTACCGATTGTGCCTGCAAATATCAAAAAAAAAATAAAAGAATTAGTTAAACTTTAAAATTAACAATTTTAAATTTTACAAAAACAAAAAGAAATTTTAATTGTAAAAATATGCAAATATTTTAATTTTGCTTTATAATTTTTTAAAAGAAATAAATAGATAGTAACAAAAAAATGTTTAATTAAAAATAAAGGCATAAGAAATAAAATATGGATGGAAGTGCTAAAATATAATAGAAACGACCTTTAGAAAGTAAAATTATTGGTTTGACCATAGGCGGTGACCCAAAAAAATCGTAAACAAACAAAAAAATTCAAAACCTTTTTTTTTTTCAAAGTTAATTTTTGTCAAAAACTAAAGAAAAAGAAAGAATTCAAGATTAATTTTGCTTATTTCTTAAAAAAAAATGTGGAAGGTGTTGAAATACAAATGTAAAAAAAAATTTTATTACCAATTTATGTAGATGAAAGAAGGAATGATTTTATATTACCAAAAAAAAAATTATTTGAAATTTCGTCACATTCTTCACAGGACAAATCAAAAGAAATAAAAACGAATAAAATTGTCAAGAAATTAATTTAAACAGCCATAGGTAGTAGGATTAGCTTCATCCGTGTTCAGTATGTAGTATCTGTTAGATTTGTATATCTCAATGCTCTTATGAACTTCTTGTGATCCGTTTCGTAAATGTGTTTCGTAACCTTTGAATCGAAATTAATTTTAATTTCTAATTTCCTTGAACATTTTATGTTACTAAAATGTTCCCTTAGCCTTGACGTTAACCGGTCTCGTTGTTTGCTCTATATTATGCTCTGCATGTCTCATGTATTTTTTCAATTTATCTGTGGCACAACTTATTGGTGGTTGCTTATCAAATTCATTGAACGATGTAAGATTATCGTCAAAAGATTAGTAGAAAAATGTCTTAATACTCATAATAATGGAATTTTGAGCAAGTTATTGATTTGGCTTAGCGTAAATTGAATAAATCAGGGTTTAGTTTTTACCATGATGAGGTTAAGGCATGCGGACTTACTTTGTTTTATTTACATTCAATCGTATCAATGTCGCAAAAATTTCCAATAACTAGTTTTAAAATAATGAAAAAAAATATAAGCTATGCTCTTCATAATTTCGAAATGACTTAATTGAAATTGAAGTGTACTCTAAAATTGGAAATATTTTTATTTTTATTAAAATTTTGAAATCCTCAAATTACTATTCGTTTACCATTAGATTGTCTAAATTATTTTCTATAAGATCATCTTTTGTCTTAATATGCAATTGAAAATTTAATTTTCCATTTATTTCTTACATAATATAAAGATTTTATTCAATTGTTTCAATATTTTAAAACAAAATAGAATAAATTCACTTTGGAAGAGCAAAATCAGTACAATAAGTTCACGATTTCTTCCAAAATCTTCTTTTACTCTAAACTCAGTTATTTAACAAAACCTATCGTATAATTATGGTATATCATTCAAATTAAAAAGAGATCAGTAAAATCAGTTTGAAATGAAGAAGAAAAGATGATAAACTGAAACTGTTTTTAAAAAAATATTGGCTAAAGAAATTGAAATTCTAAGATTAACAATAATGATATATACCAGTTGTGATTGTAATGATAATGATGATTATGATAATGATTTTACGATGATTATGTTGGTTATAGTAATTGACATATCAATAAATACCAAATTCATCATTTTTGAAAATATTTTTTTTTCTGCTTATATTCGAAAAAAAAATTATTTTAACCCACTCCTGCTTAATTTTAACAAAATAATTGGAAAAAATTTTAAATTTTTTGAAAATTTTATAAATCCGCCCTGCTGCAATAACATTCATGGTAGCAACACCATTCTAAATAAGTTACAATTGTTGCATTGCTGGATGCTTATTTTAAATTAGATTAATATAAATTAATTGAGCGTACAGGCTCTACAAATACTCAAATATTTTAGGCAATTTTTTTGTAACATCCATTTTGTAGAGCGATATATCGAACAAATTTCTCGTCAGGGTTAAGTAATTTTATAAAAATAAAGCATATTTGAAAAATTCAATTTTCTATTTTCGTAACTTCTTTATGTGCAAACTAAATCACCTTAGTAACAAACAATCAAAAAGAGAACGGAAAAAATAAAACAGTTTTTGTTTTTTATTAAGAAGCATTCAAATCTAATCGATTATAACAATAACATCATTGATGATGAAGTTATTTAAAGATGATTAAGATCTTATTATAATTGTAACGACAGGTGAAGGTTAAGACATTTTATAAATTGGCAAAACAAAAAATAAATTGAAAAAAAAAATATAGACTTTTGAATGCAAAATGCTGAATAAGTATGAAAAATTTTTTAAAAAATAAAAAGTGAAACTTATTTCATAATTGGATTCAAATTAAAATTTAATTTCTAATTTTTATAATTCTTGACTTCATAAAAGCGCGCAAATATTAAAAAATATTATTGATTGAGCCAAAAACATTTGTGAACGCTTTTTAATAAACGCTTTCAATACTGCTAAACGTAATCACTATTAAATTAAATTTTACAAATTAATTTTTATTAATGGGATTTTGTTTTCTATTTCCATTGATTTTAATTAAGTTAATTGCTCAAATTAGCAAGGTTACAATTGGAAATTAAACATTCTTTAATTTTTTTTTACTAAACATGCATAATTTATTTTTGTTTAAAATGGTTGTATAACTGTGAATAAAAAAGTAAGGTTATAACAGAGAAAATCATCTCAGATTTCAAACACTAAGAAATTTTTTTACGTTTATACTTAAATTATTATTTAATTTTTTCAAATATTATTCTTAATGATGCTTATAGTTTAATTAAATTTCAATAGCTCAACTGTTTGCTTATATTTTCCTGAATTCGCATATTAAAATCAACCTCACCATTTACGACTACAATTCATAATTCTTATGTTTATTAAAAGTAAATTTAATAAATTATTTGCAATTCTATTAAAAATCATGGTAAAAAATAGCATTCATCCAATTATAATGAAAGTCAGTTAAAAATTATTACTTTGTGTTCAAGCCAAACAAACAATGTATTAAGAGCAAATTAATTTATATTAGGATTGCATTATTACGAGTATTTATGACATCTATTATGAAGAAGCTGCACGAATAACGACATCTATTAGGTACAGAATTAAGAAGCTCAATTTTCTAATATTTTAAATTTAATATTATATTTTTATCAGAGAACTCTTATCAAAATTTTAAACATGTGTGTATTTAAAACAAAAATGTTACTCGAAAATTTAATATTAATGTTGTTGTTAATAAAAATTTGGTATTTAAATTCAAAAGCGTCTCAATAACAAAAACTATCTGTCATATTTCAATTAAATTGCATATGTAGATACACAGATATATACATAGATTGTATTGAAGAAAACGAAAGTTTAAATCGTTTTAAATTAAATTTGAATTGCTAAATAAGATCTTCGAATTCTTTATTTAATATGCACATTAAATTTACATTAAAATATTGTAAAAATTGTTATTTCCCTAGAAACTTTACCTTTTTTATATTTTGTTTTATGCAGTAGATAAAGAGTTGTATGAAAAAAACATTAAACACATCTATTCGATCCCCTTAAAGAATTTTATTTGAAGATTTTCTCCCCAATTTAATATTTTTTTTTTATTTTTTTTTTTGTCTTTCTAAAGAAAATAAAACAAGTTTGAAACTTATTTTGCATAAACAAGAAAGTTAAAATGTTTAAAAGAAAAACACGCACACACCCGCCTTTGATACCTTATTGCTACGAAAATGCATAGGTATAAGTTTTCTTATAAAAAAAAATTAACATTGATCACATATTTAACTTACTGAATGAAAAGAAAAGCTGAATTTGTGAATTATACACACATACATAAGTTTTTAATAATCTACTATATTGGTGTGCATAGTTTGAGTTATATACATGCCCATAATGTAATATGAATAGGTGAGGGGTGTTTAAACTACAGTCCGAGGAATCCATTTCCTTCGAAAAATTTTAAGCAATATCCCCGCTGATAACGCGAATGTATGCCTTGTTCATGCACTATACGTAGTTTGACTTGAAAATCATTCGCGCATTATATTCCTATGTCTACGTATATTTATGTGGACATTGAAATGGCATCTAAAAGTAATGCAAGTGTTTTTTGTCCCCTGAGCAATTTACATATTTTGATTTACATATCTTCAAATATACCATTCAATTATCAGTTATTACAAAGTTCTAATATATTCATTCGAATTTAATTATGTATTGATTACTTTTAATGTTAAAAGAAGTTATAACATTTGCATAATTATAGTAAAAATAAATAATTGAATATTGAACTTCGAAAAAGTATAAATTTCAACAAAGGAGTGTTATAATTACATTTAAAAAAGGAGTGTTTATTATTGCAATTGAAATTTTAAAATGTTTTGTTATAAAATGCACCAATTTAAGGGCATTGTCAGGTAATGTCTCGTATATTATTCTTTCAAATTATTTGACATATGTAACGTATTCATTTCTTCATTTTTAATTCCTACAATATTAGAATTTCTTTTTCAATGCAATAAACTATCAGAATAAATTTTACATTCATATAGCCTCTGCACATACACATTTATTATGTTTTCAAATTACAAGAAAAGTGAGTTCATAAATCGTAAAAAAATTTCACAAAAGACAAAAGGAATTTCTGTCAGAAAATATTTTTTCTCTCTTTCACTTGACTAGAATTTTTTATTTCATATTCTTAGCATAAAACTTCTCTAGTATGGTAAAATATAAGTAATAAAAATAGTTAAAATATTTAACATATTTTATTCTTATTAATTAAAATCATAATAACGCTACATGTAAGTAAGTATATAAGTTATTATATACGTATATTCACATAAAAAATGAAATTTCAATGAAAACTAGTTTTACTTTTATTAAATTCCAAGTTGCTTGATTGTTTAACATGATCAAAGAATTTTCAATTCCTTTTTTAATCACAAGTAAGAGTTATTTTAGCTAACTTTAGATTATTGTATAAGTTAAAAATAATCGGAAGATTTTGTGTAATTGTATAGATTGCAATCTATTGCCAAATCTATTGTCAAATTGTTGATGAATCCGAGCAGCTTTTCCCACAACGAAGGAAAATATTCCAGAACGACATACCAACCAGCGAGAATCCGTTCTATTTTGTCCGAACCGTCCCTTCTCTTAAAGATTAACGATCAACATTAATTGAAAAGTGCATTAGTGTCTCCTCCTCTTCCCACAGTTTGCTTTGGTGTTTTTTAAGCTTGCAGTGTCCCATCAGGAACTTCGTGAGAATTCTCACATGATTCTTCGGCATCCTTATAATCGTATTGAGGTGCTCCCGATTGCAATTGCTCAAACGCTCCTTCGCTTGCTGAAGTCTCGGACACGCTCTCCATAGTTCCAGCCTTTTATTTCCATACGGATTTTGCTGGTTCTAATCCTGCGAAAAAAAAAGAAATTGTACCCGGGCTCTGGCAGAGCAACAGAGGAAATCGCTCCCACTTCACCAGCGTATCCGCTTCCTCGTTTCCTATTACGTCAAGGAGCCCTAGCACTCGGTATAATATGACTCAGTTGCTCTAGCCTGAGCTTACTGAGGCAGTCTCACAACATCCAGTTGGAAATCTGCCAAGAATAGAGCACCTTTACGGCAGGCTTTCGGTCGGAAATAATGTCTATATTGTATTCGCAGTAACCTCTATTGAAGTTAAAATGGGCGCACCTTTCTATAGCGCGTATTTCCGTCTGAAAGATACTTGCGTACATCCATATAATCCCCAGTTTGCCAAAATCGCCAGTGTCGGGTAGCTAACCGACTCTTCCCTCCAACTCTTCTTGTCACCCAGATTTGAACTGAAGTTTTTCTTAAAGCTGTACCTCCAAATCATATCATCCCTCGACTGACACAACAGTGGAATTCCTCTGGAGAGGATGTTTTAATCTTTTAACTCCATGATAGTCTCCCCGTCTCCAGATCTTCCACGCAACCGTACAATGGTTAGCGGTGACAAGTGAAGCATCTGTAATGCGCACACATGCCAACCTTTACAGCTTCTCCAAGTTCTTCTTTGTTCTCTCGAGCGTCTTCCTTTCCCCCCATGCCACCACGTTCATCGGAAGATTTTACAAGCCGCCAAAAGAAAAAAATTTATATTTCTTTTGAATTCTTGAAGTTGATTGCACAACGAATCACGATTGTCTAATTAATATTCGTTAATATAAATTATGAAGAGCAGATGTTCGGGCGTAGCTTGAAAAACACTCATTGTAAAATGGCAACCCTTATGTTTTATATATGTATGTATATGTGATTACTTGTAGTTTTTAGTGACACTATCAAGTGTGTCATTTCGATGAAGTAAATTCTTATTTTTCTTGTTATAAACGTAGTAATTTTTTAAGAACACCTTTAACTTATAAAACTAATATATTTGCATTTAAATCGAAGATAGATCTATGTGTACAGAATGCTAGTCTTGATTAGAAGAATACTCGTATTTATTTATTTTATCACGGTTTTATTTAAAAAATAAATAAAATGCAAAACAAAAATTACTGGTTATTGAAAGACCTTATATAGAATTAACATTTCCTTTCACTATCTTAATTAGAGAAGATGCTGTTTTACTATTAAAAATATTTTTAAAATGATTATCAAAGGATCTATAAAATAATAACACAGATTTTTAGAAAGAAAAATAATGAAAACTAAAATAATAATAATGATGATAATGTCAATGATTAATGATAATGATAGATGAATGATGACGACAAAACGTCAGGTTCATTTTTATAATCACGATTTTTATTTCATATTTGTATACAGAGAATAAAAAGTAAATTTTTTATTCTATCAGATAACAATAATCTCAATATTACCGCTTACTAAAGGAAAAAATTTATTGTTAAAATGAAGAATAGGGTATAGTAAATATTTAATTATTTAGCACGGAATTTTAGATTGTAATTTAATGTTTACTGAACAAACTAAGCAATTATCTCGCTTGAATGATTTTCAATAAAAACAGTCTTTGTTATTTGAATAGCGCAAGCTACAATTTATTCAAAAAAAAATCACAAGTAAAGTAATGATGAGACTAACTAACTTTCTCATAAAACCATTGTAAATTGAAATTTATGCAAAATATACAATGCAAAAAAACTCATTCAAATCATTTAACAAATTAAAATTAAATAATTTTATTAGAAAATATTTTAAAAAATTTGAGGAGAACATAGTTCTAGTTGAAAATTCTAGATCTAGAATAATATAAATTTAACCCTAAAATACTAGACCCAACAACACAAAAACAATACACGTAATTAATTGTAATCTAATAAATGTCATAGGTATTTTTACCTATTAAAAGTTTCAAAAAATTAGGGCAAAACTCAACAAAAATCTTTTAAAGCAAAAATTTAATTAAATTAAATTCAATTTCTACATTGACTTTCCTATTTCTCTTTTTTATTTAAAATAATTTTCATATTTTTATTAAATTTAATTGAAAATATTGAAAATATCAAAGAAATCGGGAAAGATTTTGAACAAAAAAAAAACTAAAAAACAAAATGGTTCAATAATTTTTTCGCGCAAAAGTCACCACCACCATTGGGATTCCTATGAACCATGAAGCTTTAACCGTGATGTTTAACATAATTTTAACATAAGTTTAAAACTATACAACCGACCATAAATTACAATATTGATATGTATTACGTATGTATGTATGTGAATGTACAAGATTTGAATAATAATCTATTTATAGTTTATATATGAAACCATTCAAATGGGTAACTAGGTCTTTTTTATTTCAAATTCTCATTACATTTCATAAATATAACAACAGTTTTGCATAAAAATAATTTACTTACTAATTAGAGTGTTCAGATATTTTAAAAATAAAGCAACTAGTAAATTATTTTTCAAAGTTTTTTCTCTTCAATAAATTGGCAATAATTGAATCATGCGAAGAAACTTAAATTTTATAGTCAAATTATATAAGTTCTGATCTATTATAAATTAAGCAACACACATAAAATTTGATTTGATTTGAATTACAGATATTTGTACTTAAGTGTACAAATTTTTGTAGAATAATCAAGAACTCTTCCAATCTCTTTATTAGATATGTTCCAATCACATTAGGTGTATTCTAATATCCCATAATAATCCCGACTTTATTTTCTTTTGAAAGGCGAAATGTTCTACCGTAAGTCAAGGGAAAATTAAAATTAATCTTTCACTGCGAGAGCGTTAATTTACAATTATAGGCATTAAATAGTCTTATACATATATTGCATATATCTTGTACATCTGGTAAACCAGTTTCAACATTTGCACTCCAATTGCATATTTTGAATAGCATATAATATTTATTTTTATGGTAAAAAACGGTTGTATATGGTAATAATTTTTTGTTGAACTCATTCGAACGTTATTTAATTGTAATTTTATCTTCCTTTTTTTATTTGAGTTTTCATTAAAGATTTCAATTTTTAATTATTATGAATATTACGTGATTTGAATTTTTAAATTTTATTATACATATTTAATTATTTGATATTCATGATGGTTTATTATATTATTTAATTATTATATAATCATCTCATTAGTTTTATAATCCAGTATAATATTACTATTATAATATACAATTACTTGACACTATTAGGCAGATATTTATTTTTCTTGTTATAAGCGTAGTAATTTTCTACGGCAGATACTAGAACCTCTATCGGTGATTGTAGAAATACATTTTAAAAATCTATATGTTTAAAGAAACTTCCATGTGCTAAGCAATTACTTTATAAACGTAACTTTAAAAATTAATTTAGTATTATTTAAGATTTTGGGACTTAGTACTCTTTTACTACTAAGTGGCGGTTTATTTCTAATAATAATAAAAAAAATCTCTTTAATTTCCACAACATTTGTGGTTTCTACAAAACTATGTATAATTGTTTTCATGCTTGCTTGCAAGCAATCTTGTCACTTTTATAATTTTCATTTGAAATTGAATTGACCACCAATTTTGCCACAGAAAAACCACAAATGCACTTTATATTTTTCCTTCGTTTCTTTTGTATTTTGTTTAATTGTTTTTTTTTGTTTTTACTTCAAAACAAAACTAACAAGTATTTTATTGAATACAATGTTTTTTTAATATTGTCTTAAATGATCTTGGTACAATTCAATAAATTAGACGTTTATCAAATCGGAGCCAAAATTTGTCATGACAAAAAATGAATATGCATGGCAACAATCAATTGATTAAATGAAGCAAGTACAATTTAACTCTCGTTTTTTGATTTGAATTTTCATTAATATTGCATTTTTCGATATTTAATTAAATTATTAAAATTACCATCAATATTATACTTAAAGTATTGCGAACGTTAGCATTTATGAATTAAATCGTTTACCGTAAAAAATTTGGTATGCAATCCAATTTTCAACAATATTAACAAACATGAAAAAAGCAATTTCAACAAAAATATCATTCTTAAAATATTTTGCATACTTTCTGGCGAAAACATAATATAAAAATTGTTTATACCAGTAGCTTTAAAACTTTTTTTATTTTTTTTTTATTTTATAGCGAAAATTTATTCAAAACTATGACTGATCTTGTTATATCAGAAGGTTTTGCTGCAGTGGGTTATGAATACATTAACGTTGATGACTGTTGGCTTGAAAGATCTCGTGCTCCAAATGGTCAATTAGTTCCTGATCGAAGAAGATTTCCAAGTGGAATGAAATCACTAGCAGACTATGTAACTTTAATACATAAAATTGAATAAAAGAAAACTAAAAATTTCACTATTTACGGTAAAATAATTAAAAATTATTTTGTGTATTTTTATACCATAGGTACATGCTCGTGGTTTAAAGTTTGGCATTTATGAAGATTATGGTAATTATACTTGCGCTGGTTATCCTGGTATTATTGGATATGAACATATTGATGCAGCACAATTCGCTGATTGGGAAGTCGATTATGTCAAATTAGATGGATGTTATTCATTGCCAGTTGATATGGATAAAGGATATCCAAAATTTGGTAGATATTTAAATAGAACTGGTCGTGCAATGATATATTCATGCAGTTGGCCAGTTTATCAAATATATGCTGGAATAAGCCCAAATTTCTCATCAATTATTGAACATTGTAATTTATGGAGAAATTATGATGACATACAAGATTCATGGGCATCTGTTGAATCAATTATTGATTATTATGGTAATAATCAAGATTCTATAGCTCCAAATGCTGGTCCAGGTCATTGGAATGATCCTGACATGGTAACTTTAATATATTAATTTTTATATTATATTGGAAAATATTAGAATAATATTTCGTTTTATTTATTTTTGTATGAATTGTAAAGTTAATCATTGGAAATTTTGGACTGAGTTATGAGCAATCAAAAACACAAATGGCACTTTGGGCAATAATGGCAGCACCATTATTAATGTCAGTTGATTTAAGAACAATTCGTCCCGAATTTAAGGCAATTCTACAAAATCGTAAAATAATTGCTGTTGATCAAGATCCATTAGGTATTCAAGGTAGACGAATTTATAAACATAAAGGAATTGAAATATGGTCTAGACCAATAGCACCAATCTATCAAACATATTATTCGTATGCTGTAGCATTTGTTAATCGTAGAACAGATGGTACACCATCTGATGTTGCTGTTACATTAAGAGAATTAGGTTTAACATCACCAACAGGTTATAGAGTTGAAGTAAGTTGTAAAATTCTATTTATGTATATTTGTATAATGTTTTTATCATTATTGAGGAATCTTTTTGAATATATTTCATTTTTGTTTTTAGGATCTTTATGAAGATGTTGATTATGGTGTTTTAAGTCCACAAACGAAAATCAAAGTTAAAGTGAATCCATCTGGTGTTGTTATACTTAGGGCTGACGTACAACCAGAACGCTTTTCAAGAACACCGTATAATCCATTGCAATATTTCCATGTGAAATAAATTTACTATTTTATTTTTAATTTTAAAAGCCTCTAATTAAAACCATAATCTAGATATAAATTTACCTCTAAACAATTTTCTTAAGAACTTGTCTTTTTTAAATTTAAATAATTTGTTAGAGCGCAATTTTGAACCTGAAATTTTTAATATTTTTGTTTCTTTCATAATAAAAGTGATATAGGAGCTTCTTTTTTTTTTAATGAAAATCAAACGAAAAATGAATTTCTAGAATAATTTTTAATTTTTTTTTGTTTTTTAATTAAAAAAAAAATAAATAATTAGATGCATTTCAATTAATTATTAAATATTCTTATAAAAAATTTGTATACAAAGTTAATTTTAAGCGAGAATTTCAAAAAAAAAAGAAAAGAAAATAGAACTAAATTAGATTTAAGTAGAGGTACCGATTATTTAAATTGTTGTCTTAAAAATATTTATAAAACAATTAATCAATTTTAAATGTAAAATTTGCTAAAAATAGAATAGTAAAATGCAAGTTGCCTTAAAAAATTAAAAATAAAACTACCACCATCAAAATTGTTAAGCGGTACACTAGAATAGACTATAAATGTGATCTAAGTTTTATGTGAAATTAAACTTTAAACAAAACTTAAAACAAAGCAAAAACATTACAAAAAGAATTCGTTTTTGCAAGTTGAAAATTTGAATTTAAAAGCAAAAATATTGCTCTTAATTTTAATTTTAATTAAAATTTATGTTCTTAATTGCAATCGAGATCAATTAGTATAACTTATATTTGATCTAAATTTAATTTCACATAAATTGCATTCACATTTCCATAAAAAAACCAAGTAACTTTGACCAGTAGAATTAAATTTTAATTTAAAAACACTTAAATACAAATAATTTTTTTATGTTGTCTATTTTATATTTTTGTAATATAATTTTTTCCCCCATTTTTAGAATATAATGTAGCATTAAAAATATTTTAGTTAAAATCAAAATAAAAATAGAAAATTTTTAAAAGATTTGCAACACCTCCTCATGTAAAAATATCTTTAATTAAATAAAAATTAAAATTTGCGCTGCCTTTTCACAACATATGTAAATTTTGTATTTAAAATAAATTTTGAAATCAATAACTTTTTGAGTTTGTACTTCAACTGAAAACTCAGTGTAAATTAATTTAAATGAAAATTTTAATTAACATATCTTTTGTTCTAAATCAACTTGTAAATTTAAAATCTATATTAACTGCTAATTTAGACATCAAATAAAAATTCTATCTATTTTAACATCCTACTATTTTATGCTATATATTTACATATAGATTTGTACAAGAAATGTAAATTTAAAAACTACAATTAATTAATTATTCAATTAATTTTTAAAATTTTGTTGTTAAATATTTTAAAATTAAAATTTAATAAAATTTTTCTATTTTTAAAATAAAATTTTATATTGTAAGCTTTTAGAAGAAAACGAAAATAATTTCAAATGAAGGATTAAGTATACCGATTTCTACTGTATTTTTACATATATATATATATATAAATAGCAAAAGTAAATTTACAATTAAAAAATTTTAGAAATATTTTTGTTTAGAGCAAAATAAATATAATCATCTTTAAATATAGGTATTTAAATTAAAAATATAAAAATTGAATAAGATATTAAATAATAAAAAAAAATTCAAAACAATTTTACGTTTTTTTTTTTTAATTTTCAAAAATAATTTTATTATACAAAGTATAAGTACCTAATTCAATAATTGAAATGTTTTAAAAAATATCATTTCGCTTTATACTCATACCAGTTTTGATGTAAAATTTAATATTTATAAGGTAGTAGTTTGTATTTAGTAGTTTCAAATAGATTTAAAACAAATATTAAATTTAAATTGAAATAATACACAAAAATTTTCTACGGCTCTTCAAATTGTGAATAATTTCGAAAATGCAATCTACGCATATATTGATAAGAATATAATTTCTGTGGTATTCAAGATCTATATTTTGTAAGATTGCAACTATAGATTATCCGAGTAGAGTTTTAAAACATATATAACAGTGTTAGTCCACATTAAAACTAAATTTTTGAAAATATTTTCAATATTTATTCATATTTAAACTTTTTCAACGAGACACTTGTTTAACAATGATTTTTGTATGTAGACATCATACCATTTATTTTGTAGTAGATTCGAATAATTAAGAATAGATTTTGTTTCACTTAAATAATTCAAAATGTCACGAATGAGTTCATATAAATAATGAGAAAATTTCAATTGAATATATGTACATGGATGTAAATATTTATTTGCAGATAATTATAATAATTAATGTACTCATTATATGAAAATTTACATAACAAACAATTTTTATATCCAATTAAATTATTTTTATATTTTATGATCTTATTAACTACACTCAAGCGCCGATTTTTATGTATAATATTGAACTTTACGCTTTTCATTTAATGTAGAACAATAATTACGTATAAGAAATATACAATTTTAAAATTTAGATCAAAATTCTATACTTACGGCAAGTACAATAACATTATTGCAAAACTCTCTCGTAAAAATAATATTTATAATGCTATTTAAAATGCACCAAATGAACAGTAAATACAAAAATACAATCGGTCGGTGATTTATTTCTGATAATAAATTGCCAATTAATAATTAACTGTTCGAATCTAAGAATACCATTAATTATACATAATATATGTATTATAACCTTTTACTAAAAAAAACTTTTGCCAATGGTAAATTTTTTTTTAATAAAACCGCTTTTTAATTAATCCTAACCATTTACAATTCACAAATAAAATTATTTCGAACACTATGTCGCTAAGCATAACCAATATAACCAAAACACAATGCAATAATATTGTTATATTAGGTAGTTTTCAAGTATAACAGAAAAAGAGTATTGCAATGCTAGTCATAATTTTAATCTATGCTTAACATTAAATAAATTGCATACATTTTGGCGTAATTATGTCTTTTCTTTTCAAAAGAATAAAAAAAGTAGGTAGCATTATTATTTTGTTTTTTTTTTTCTCGTTAGAAGTTTTATGTACGTTACGTGGTAGTACTATTAGAATTTAAGTTTTTTTTTATTATTGTGTTATTGTTATTGTTAATTTACATAATTCTTATTGCCATGTAAATGATAATACTTTCCCTAATAAATTTTTATATACGGCCAGCGTTAACAAACTTACAAGCAGATAGGTATGTTCATTGAATGCAAGGTATTTGTTTCTAAACTGTACAGTTATGTATGTATGTATACCTATTTTAAGTATCTAATCATATCAGTAAAATTTTTTTTTTCTTTTCTTTACATTCTTAAATATTTACCTTGTTATTATTTATTCAACTTGTTATTGTTATTATTTACAATTACAATAAAAAAAAATTGTTTTTATTGGTTTTTGCAAACGTAAGCTCATTGGCAACGTATAAAAATGACATTAAAAAATTTTTGAATTAAATTTTCTATTTTTGTATACAAGCATGTTGCAGGTTTATTTTTGTATTTTTTAGTGTTGTACGAAGAAAGGCTCATAAATGTTTGTATTAATTTTTAATTTGCTAGATATGCTAGATAGAAAATCGTATTGTTTGTTCAATTTTTAATTAACATTTTATAATTTCATATTTTCACAATTGTGAAAACCAAATAATAAATAAGAATATGTATGTATGTATATTTTAGTAAAATATCTGTTTTTAAAATAAAATTTCTTCATTCATTAATTCATTTGATAAAACACAAATGTGTAAACAAAATGATAATGTATGTAAATAAGAAATGTCAAGGTTAATGGCAACAATTATTCTCAAACTGTTTTATATTTAACCTTAACTTCAATTATAAGTTTCTAATTGGTTGAAATCATAATAAGTGAATATAACAGTTATGTGATATAGTAGCGTACATTGCATTTGAAGTTGATACAAAAATGTTATTTTAAAATTAATTTGAAACGGAAACCTGAAAAACGCAACGTTTGGGACTTATCAAACATTCTGTTAGCAAATATTTTGAACGTGTCCATTCTGTCTGACATTAATAAAATTTTCTAATAATAAATTTCTCGAACTTTTTAAACTTGCCTATATTATTATTAAATATTTTAGCTTGAACTTTAATTGATTAAAAAATAAAACAAATTTTAACAAAAATTAAGCATACCTTTAAATTTCATTACAATGTTGACAAACTAAAAACTAAACTAAAATTTGATGATTTCTTCTTATTTAAATTTTTCTTCTTCAAATGTTGTTAAAACAAAAAAACAACAAATACTATTATCATAAAATGTTAATATTTATGCACTAATTATAAAATTTTTATAATTATTGTATACAAACATCAAACTAAATTTCGAAATTTCTTAACTAAAAACACATTATATTTATGTATATATATATGTATGTATGTTCATGTACATATGTAACTATTATAAATTATTTAAAGTATGTATGCATACAAAATTTAAAAATTATCACGTTTTCAAAATTTATTTGTCAAGTAAACAGTTTTAATCTGAAAAGCATTTACATATTTAAGAAGAAGTGCACAAATGAATTAAACAAACAAAGAAAAAATTTAAATAAAAAAAAAATTAAATTCAGCGTACACAGTATAACAGTATTCGCGTTTTGTTTTCGACAACTTAATCAGCTGATTGCTCAATTCGAACTATTCATTTCAGAAATTGTCAACTAAAGTGATAAGTAATTTTTAATATTTCATTATTTTTTTCTTTATTAATTAAAGCTTTTTTCCTCGGTTGTTCTTCGTTTGAATTTTTTTTGTTCTTCTTCCTTTTTAGCCAAAAAATTTAATTAATAATTGCTTTTTTTTGCCTTATCAAAAATATAGAGAAATAAAAATAGAATGATTTTCTTTTTTTCTTCTTTTCTTTTTCTTTTTTTGACGCAATTATATTTAGTAATTGACAGAGAAAAGATGAGCCCATAAAAGTAGTATTGCCAATATGATAATATCAAATAAAAAAAAATATAACAGTATCGATCTAGGCAGGCTAATCGCAAACCTAACAACATTACTAACATAATTAGGGCCCAGGCTTACAATAATCGTAAATTATTTTCTACTTCATCCAATTTTTGGAAACTCAGAAAGCATTATCTACTTATATTTATTGTATAACTGAAATTGACATTTACCCAAAAATGCAATAAAGTTTTTTTATCAAAATACTATATACATATGTATGCACATATAACATAAAAGGAAAATGGAAACATCTGGCACTACTTCAGTTATAACAAATAGTATGTACGACATAATAAGATTTTGATAAGTGTATAAGTATGTGCAATTATTTTATCAAATCAAATGAACTAATTCGTATTCTTTAATTAAAAATAAATTTTTTTATATGATTATAGAAATGAAAGCATTTATAAGGATTAATCTTATTATTATAAGCATTAAGTGTAATTTTTGTCTTATCGCAATTAAAATGTAGAAATAAACGTCTAATATTTCGATACGCTAATATAAGGTTTCAGCCCATCTAAATCTTTGGAGTTAATTTCAATTCGATATTTATTAATTTTCCTAGTTTATCAAAAAAAATTTTTGTATCATTTAGATTTAAAAAAGAAACTATTTTAACTTTTACAACTGCATTCGACGTTTTTAAATTCGAAGTTCTAAGTGTAAACACGATGGGAACAATATATTAGTACGTATGTGATTCAAAAAAAAAAAATTTTTTTAAAAAATGCTGATTCAGAAAAACCATTTTATAAAATTTTAGAAATTTAAGGCAAAAATTATGATTCATAATAAGTAACTCCAACCGACTGTTGGATTAGTAAATGTAATTATGTGATTATGATTCGATTTTCAAATTAAACTCATAGATAAGATACTCGTAAAGTTGATAAATCTAGTCGACAAATCAAGTAAGCCTTTCTTATTAAATAACATGCACTTCTATATAAATCATTTTGGTAGAGAAGCGACATCAAGAGTCGCGAGTAATAATACGATATATATAACACTTGCACAGAATATCAATGCAATGTCAATTTTCTTTATCAGAACAATTTGCTATCAGTACACGTTTTTTTTGTCAAATCATACAACTTATTACCAGAATTTAAATGAGACTCTCTTTATTAGCCTTATCTAATTTGTTCAAATATACAAAAATTTAAAACACATAATATACTTAATAAAAACATTTAAAAAAAAAATAATTTTGATGATTTTCTTTAAATTTATTGACACTCTTTTGTTTCCTAAAATTAGAGTTTGAAAACACTTGCCAAAAATCAGTAGAAAATATCTGGTGATACTAATTGAACGTTTTTATAAATACATTTACATTGAGTGTGTATGCTTTTTTTCAGGGGTTCTTAATAGTAATCAACTGATGACCTACCATATTTCATTTGTTTTTTACATAAAGAAAAATTTTCAGTAAAATAAAATTCTTTTGATCAAGATGTTAATTAATTAATAAATTGGAAACATAGGTGCATTAATAGGTACATGAAACCCAGAACAACGTAAGCAAGTTTTCTTAAACTTTAAATGTGTTTTGCATTTAAACTACAAGAAATGAAGCGACGACTCCAGCCTTTTTTCTAGAGCAACAAACTTTCAAAAAATTTAATGAAAACTTGAAAATATGATTTTTATAATTGTATGAGCATGTATGAGCATATATTTACATATGCATAATTTCAAAATTGCGCAGTCATATCACGCTTGACTTAAATGATCATAAAAACATTTTAAGTATTTAGCATAATTTTATGTACAAATATTGTAACTACATAAACAAAAAATCCCACAAAGTATTCATAATTAATAACTGTAATAAAAAAGAGGTATCAAATTATATTTTGTAATATCATCTTACGACAATTATACGAGTATTGTACATTACATTCACTCCAAAAAATATTTCTCGGGAGACTCACCTGAAAACAAAAAAAAATATTATTTTAATTAAAAAAAAAAATTACTCATATATAAAATTTTTTAACAACTGTTTAAATTTTGCAGTGTAATATAATAAGTTAAGGTGATATTTGATATTTATTTTTTATTAAATATATTTTACATGCAATAAAAAAATTAAAAAAAAATTCTATATTTCATTTCCCGCCAAAAATGTTAAGCCATCTACTGGAATAATTTTTCATATCTTCAGTTCAGTTTCAGTTTAGTTTTTATCCAAATTACATAAAATACAAAATAAAAAACTATTTTTTTTTCTCTGTCAACTACTTTTAGTGTAGGAGATCTAATGTATACAAATAAAGGAGTAGTAACATTATTCTGGTAGATGACTTAATTAATGCCTTAATTTCACGCCGAATACAATAGAATTTAAATATAAAGGTTCGTTCTTTTTATAAGAATATTTTCTTACAAATACTGGGGGTATTCTAGAAATGTTAAAAGATGTATCAAAAACTTTTGATTAAATTTATGTGATGTTAGATTCTATACAATGGTTTACAAAATGAAACTATCATGAAATAAATTTTTATTTTATTTGGGTAATGGTTTCAAAAATATTTTTGTTGTTACATTAACTATAAGCAAAAATAATATGCCAATATTAATGTCATTAAATAATAGAATTCAAGTAACAAATGACACTTAAAGTAATTAACTAATATTCATTAATATTATTGTAGAAATTTAAAAATTCATGTGTAATATGTAAACATTGTGAAATGTGATGTCACGATAGAAATGCATGAAAGTATCGTGAACACTTTTTCCTTAAGTGCATTGTTTTTAATGTGCTCGTTTACACTTGTTTTGATTTTTGAAAATCAATAATCAACTTGTAACAATGTGGTTATCATTTGTTTTTTTCTCTGTGTTTACTAAAATGCATTTAAATTTTAATACAAAAAAAATTTCATAAGATAACAAACAGTAATTTAGATTTGAAACTGGAATTAAACATACAGTGTCATTTAAAAGTAAACTATAATGTTAAAGTTTTTGATTAAAATTTTGAAAGGATTGTAATTGTTTTTGCATTAAACAATTATTATTGCTCTTTGATTATAGTTGTATTATTAAGTTTTCGTTATATTCAATGCAAAATTCAAAAAATCCTACCACTTTTCAAAATTTAAACAACTTTCGGTGAGCACTGTATTTAAGATTAATTATTTTAAATAAAATTTAAATTAGAAAACACACTTATTTTATTTGACCAGTTTAATCATTTTGGACTTTCCGGTAACCTTATTTTGTAATATTTTATATAATAATTACAAAATATTGAAAAATGTTTGATTAAATAATAATTAAATAATTTTATAATAAATAATTTTTCTTTTTTTTTTGTTTAAAAGCCAAAAGCAATAATCTAACATTAAATTTTTCCTGTTCTTGATTTCAGAATTAATTTTAAAATATTCCCTGAGGGAGAGACATTGTACCGTATCTCTGCCACTCTAATTATTAGACTTATGAAAAAAAGTCCTTCAATTATTGTTTAATTGATTTTAATTTATTATAAAAAAATTTAAATATACAAATATACACATAGAATATAAATTTCACAATTCCTATTTAATTATATGAATATTAAATCCAATTTAAAATTACGGTAATTTTTTACGGTATTTTAATTAAAAAAAAAAACAAAAAGAACAAACACAACGAAAACAAAAACATGACTAAGTTTTTTGATAACATTTTGAGTAAGTATGTATATGGCATTTTAAATAGCAAAACAGTTTGTTATTGAATTAATTTCCGGTTAATTTTCGTATCCGCATAGAATATACACATTTTGTATATGTATGATATTTATTGTGTTATATGTTTGTATAAAATTATTTCAAACGAAATTAAATTGCTTCGATCGAAATAAATTTTGTAAATTTTGAATTTTTGCCATAATTATTATCATAAGACGAATTTCTTAGCCCAAACATCAACTATTATGTAAACTAACACCGCACAAGAGAACAAAACAATCATCATTTAGACGCAAAAAATGCGTCTTTTACATTGGCAAGCAAAATCGTCAACATTTAATGATCAAGCAAAAGGAATATGGTGAAAAAGTTATAGTAAGGATCAGAGTTTATTAGTATAGGACTTTGTGTCTTCTAAAGACGACTTACAAGTGAATCACGAATTATCATGAAATTAAAATAAAAAATTCTAAAATTTTACCTACTTGGTATTTAATTTATTTTAGATTTTTATTTATTATTTTTAATTTTTTTTTACGTAAATTTGTCTTTTGACACTTATTCAGCAATTTCAATTGGATTGAGTACATGAGAACTTTCTATTCTTTTGTATCCACACATATGTATAGTACACAGGCACTTAATTTAATTTTAATTAATATAGGTATTTTTATTATTTAATATTAATTAATATATGTGCACAAAACATAAATCATTAAATTTTTATGTATTTAGAAAGTTTAAATTACGATTTGAAAGCCACGTGTTTAAGTAAAAATTTTTTTGCCGATAATTTTTTATTCAAATTCCTCTTTCTTGTTTGTTATACAATTAAATTTCCCGAAATTCGTACGATTTGCTATTCTCAATGATTTGATAATATTGAAAATAAAATTATAAAAAAATATTTTGTTATGTCACGCGTTCTTAATACACAAACAAAAACATATAAACACAATTATATTATTTTGACAATAATAACAATATTTTTTTTCAATGTGAAAATATTTTTTTTTTGTTTGTGAATGTATAAGAGAATAATTGAATTGCGCCCCCTGCGGAAAAAAGAATTATTTTTATACATTTTCCATATCATTTTGCAGTTAAAGTCAACCAACTGTAAGTGTTGTCATCTGATAACCACTTTTTAAAATAAACCGCCATATAATAAAAAATCCATAAAAAATTCACAAAATTTTTGTCATGTTGCTAGCATACAAAAATCGCAAAATATTTTTTAATTGTTTTGTTCTTTTTTTTAAATTTCGTTTCGCCTTCTCTAAATAAGAATATTTACAATTTCTTATCAAAATGATTAAAGAAATGAAATCATACCCGCACCGCCTCCCCCTTTATTTTCCTTATCACTTTCTTGTTCTTCGAATGTTCAAAAATTTTGCCAAGCACAAGTTTTGTTTTATTTTTTTTTTATCATTAAAGCTTAATTTGTTTTAATAATTAACACGTATGTATGTACAATTGTTATTCTTAAATTGTTAAAAGGAAGCGAGCCCCTTTTGAATATAAAAATTTTTTTGCTTCTTTCTTAATTAAGTTGACACAAAAAACAGAAAATTTAAATAACTAGTTTATTTATATTTTTAATAAGAATTTATAGACATATGGGTGTGTATTGAGGTAAATCATTAATTTGATCAGTTGGCATTATATGATGTATGTACGTATGTACATACATATATGTTTGTATATACTTAGTATGCAATAATAAGCCAAAACCAGATTTTTACAAGATAAACGAAAAAAAAAATGTACTTATGTGTTTTTTTTTTAATTTTTTTAGGCTCGTTATCAAAAAACTGAAAACATAAACCTTCACATTACATATATGTATGTGCGTGAATACAATTTCAAATGCGATTATTTACACAGTTGCGATTGGATAGACATCACAAAAAACAACATTTCCTTACAATAACTGTAGATAAATTGTTAACTCTTGCCTAATGTGTCTAAAATTTAACTTATAATAAATTCGGATCAAACCAATGATTTCTAAAATAACATACACATTTCATAAACGGGCACAATGAAGTAATGAGTACTATTATTCAATTTTCTTTTAAATATGCTAGAAAAAGATTTATCTTAATTACAAACTGTAATCAAAGAACTTATCCCGATCTCCATTACTTATTTTAGAAAAATTAACAAAGAAAACAGTTAAAATTTTATCAACTACAAACCAAAAGATTCAACATCATTAATCTTAACTAACATATACAACAAATACAGTACTATTCCGAAAGAAATTTATGATTCCGAATTTTCTATATTTCAAATTCCGAAATTTTCTATATTCCGAACGAAAAATCAAATGGTGTATGCATGTATTTCTGTCTTTTGTTTTTTTTTATATTAAGTATTTAAACAAGTTTTTAAAAATATTATCAACAATATCAATTTTTCAAAAATAGTAAATGATGGAAAAAAAACAATTTTTGTAAGTAAAAAATGAATAAAATTAAAAATTTGAATTTTAAATGCAAAAAAAGATTGTTAGCTATAAATATTGACTCAATTTTTCTTTTTTCTGATTTTTGTAGATATTGACCATGCCCTTTTTACGCTCACTGTAAAAAAAGCAAAATTAACTCGAATGATGAAAAAGAAATTTGGCGACACATTAATATGTATGTCAGAAGAAAAACAAGAAATACCTAGATATATACATACACATAAGCATATACTTAAATTAAATTAGTTTAACGTAGACCACCTTGTTGATGTGATAAGTGATTACCATAAGAAAAACATACAAAATATAAATTATTTTATTGTACTTATATAACAAAAATGTTATTATTTTAGAAGATCTGAACATGTCGAATTATTTATAAAATGAGTTCTAATTTTGAGAACGAAAATGCGAAATAAAACGAACAAAATTCCAAAATTATTTTCAAAAGAAAACTGTGTTATTATTATGAATTCGAATTCGGAAGAGTCGTTCACACAAGAAACAGGGAAGAGAATTCACAAAGGAATAAACAATTACAGTGACTTTAGTTAATAAATATTCATAATAAACAGCGAATTACACAGTTTTGAACAGCGGCAGCCCTTCCTTTTTATCATGTCACATCACGTCAAAATAAATCTAGGACTAGTAAAGGGAGAACAAATTAATCAATATTTTTAATTATACATACATATATATATATAGAAAATTTCTAATTAATTGTGATATTTTTTAATTTTTTATACGTTTTCAGCTGTTTTTTTTTTTTATAAAATTGATCGATGCAAATGTATAATTATAGTATACATACAAATTTAGCTCTAAATTTGTATTTAACATAGAAGATCATATATTGGAAAGATGTCAAATTGGTAAAAAAAATTTGAACTGCATACTTGTATCTCACGAAATGCCAGAAACGTCAGATAAAGTGACTCACAAAAAATTAACATTCACTTTTTTCATACACAATATTGTCGTGAGTTTGTACTCGTATATGATTCAAATGTTTGCTTTTTTACATTCTGTTTTATCAATTTAAAACAAAGATAAGTATTGAAATTTTCATCAAAGATTTCTAGATGTATGTATATATGTATATTTTTGTATTTGACATATGCCACAATAAATTTGCTCCATTTAAAACTTTTCTTGTCAACAATCAATTAAGTTCCTATTAGTAGTGTATTTACGATTACTTTTACTTCATGTTTTGAGTATTACTCTGTAAATAACTTTTTTACATAAATTAAAATCAATTTTCAATATTGTCAAAGGTCTTTGAAACTTTATCGCCACAACAATTACAGTTTAAATAAAATTATTACAGAATTTTTTTTATTTTTTTTTTTAATTTCTTTTTTTGTTTGAATTGTAGTTTTACTTCTAAACTTTGACTTATTATCAATGTAATAATGAATAACCTCACAGTAATAACAACGTATTTTCCAGTTTTGTTTTTGTTTCGTTCGCATTTCTATTGAACTTACTCGAAAATTTCTTATATACCTAACGAAATTTATATTGAAATACTCTTTTTATATGCACATATATGTATGTATATGTGTCTTTTAGAAATAAAGTATAACTGGCAGAGAGGTGAGTGAAAAAAAAGATGTCAATTAGAAAAGTGACTAATGAAAAATATTAGCCCAGTTTTTATTTACACATTTTAAGAATTGTGGTACTCGTATACAAATGTAAAACGTATCGCAATAAAACCCATAAAATTGTGTAGATATTATAATATTGTTTTAGTTTTTTGTAAAAATATGTATGTATGAATATTCTTAAAGTAATTTGAATCAAAATTGAAAATACATTTGGGTTACATGTTAGAAATGCATGTACATACGGCCGATTAAAGCTTTATTAACATGCCGTTATTTAAAAAAAATCGCTTTCACAAATTAATAAAATCAATGATAAACGAGTGTAAGTGATCAATTATACTTAGTACTCTTTTATGGTTTAACAATATAATTGTACTATTAATTTTTATTATATTGAGCTCAATTATACGCCTGTCATATTCAGAGAGACTTAGTGTTAGCACTAATGACCTTAATGGCAAATGTACACCGTTATTCTTAAATTGGATTTGTCACTTTAAATTATTTAACAATTTTCAAAACCCATTTCCTTAGCAAATTAAATTTATTTAACCTGCTTTCATTTTTACAAAAAAAAAATTAATTTCAGAAATTCATTTTACACCCGCACCAAGTTATTAAAAATATTAGAAAAAAAATTTTTATAGCATATTTAAAAAAAAAATATGTATGTTTTTTCACAAGGTCACTTTTTCTTTTCTTATACTTCCCTCATTTGATATTTCGAACAATTTTTTTTCGAATCAGGTCACCTCATATAATGTCAAGTGCCTTTATTATTAGAATCTACAATTTCTAAAATGAAAGATGATTTTATTTTAATTGTGTGTAAGAAAATATCTTTTTAAAAATTTATTTTTTTTTTTACGAAAAAAAATTTTTTGCGAAAAAAGATTCTGTAAATTTGACGAAATGTGACCAGAACAAAAATATAACGTCAAATTTTATCAACGACAACAAAATGAATGCCAGCTACTAACTTATTTGAGTTTTAAATTTCATACACATGTGTTTTTTCGTCAATGTTAAGTATATAAGTACTAATTCCAACAGAAGAGAAAAGCAATTTGACAAAATATAATCACATTTATTAAGACGTCGGATGACGGAATGGTGTCGAAAAAAAATAGTGTCAAATAATTGTCAATATCAGGCTGCACAAAACACTTAACTTTTTCTTTTGTTCGTGTTTCTGTTTTTACCTATGGGTATATACATACATATGTACAATAGGAAAAAACAAACAAATTTTATATAAAAATAATTTCAAAAAATAATCTAAACTGAGAACAAAGAATAGATACTATAATTTTTGGAAAAAAAAAATTAAAATTCTAATCAAAATATTTTTGAAGTGGAGAATAACAAAAATATTAAAATTCATTTTTATGATATTTATTTTGGGGGCTTGACGCACCACCGAATTTTTTTTATAAAAAATTTCATACATACTTAAATTAACCAAAATACAGTAATTTTTAATTTTTTCCTTTTTTCTTATTAAATAATATTTATTCGTTGATAACATAAGCAATTTTTATAATTCATAGTGTGTTTAATTGAAAAACTAAATTTTAATTTCAAATATTCATTTTAAGTTTATGTATTTGAAAGTTTTATTTAAGTATGTATTTGCGAAGTATATATGTATATGTATACCTACAGCAAAATCCCGCTAAATATTGGAATGCGTTAGGAAATTCCAAAACATCACTTTAAATCATGGATGTCAAAAGTGCGGCCCGTGGGCCGCATGCGGCCATTTTCTTATTTTGGTGCGGCCCTCTAAAACGAATTGTTAAAATATTATTATTGTTTAAACTTGCAATTCTACGATTGGCTACTACAAATATGCAACCCAATATTTTAAGACTTGTTCAACAGAAGCAGTGTCACTCAGCTCCCAGTACTTCTAATAAAAAATAAATAAATAAACGTTTATACACCTTAAAAATTGAATTAATTGTTTTATTTTCTGGCCCTTTTGTCATACAGAATATTGGAAATTGGCCCATAGTTTCAAAAGTCTTGACATCCATGCTTTAAATAATGTACGGAATTCGAATAAAATCCGACAAAAATAATGAGTATACTTAAATTTTACAAAATTTAATATTTTATCGAATAGACAATACTTACACTTTTAATTTAAATGCTTTATTCAACAATATTTCAAACGTGATTTATTGTATTTGAATTTTGACTGGAGTTTGCTCATCAACACAAAATGAACTCTAAATAATTATATTAAATATAACAGAAAGTAATTTTAAATAGGGTTAAATTTAGCGGGGTTTTTCTGTACAATACTGTTATATGTATTAATAACGTTAAAAATAATTTTATACTGCATTCACAATGGTTAAGAGGCCGGTGAAAGATTTCGTAAAACACTTTAAATTAATATTTTTGACTTTTAAATAGGAGTATAAATGGAAACCGGTCATAACAAATCTTGTACTCTCTTGTTAAACTAGTCTCATATCATAACAGGAAAATTTAAAGAAATTTCTGCAACTCGGGCTCAACTATCATCTATTAGTGGAAAAAAGACGTCAATACTCGTACAATTAAGTCATTCCCATTTTCAAAACGTATTTTTTTAAAAATTAAATTATGTTTAATAAAAATTTGCAACCATTGATAATTACACGCGCTAATTTAATTTCATCGGTGTTTATTTGAAATGTAAACAAATATTGCCAAAAAAAAATTATTTTCTATTTGCGTGCTTTAGCAATTCTGTTTAGCATTTTTTTTTAACATGTTTATACAATGGTTATATGTATGAAAATTTATAGATTTTGCGGTAAATTAAAAAACTAAATATTTAAGTAACAAAGAACTCAAAAAATAAAAAAAAATGGAAAATTAATTTTCTTCTCCGTTTTTTATGGGAATATAAAAAAAGAAATAAAGGCGTATTTACCAATATTTTTGACGAAAAAGGTAAACAAAAAAATCGAATCAAGAAATAAACAAAATTTATATTTTATTTTTAAATTAAATGAAAAATGCATGAATAATTCCATGAAAATTTACCCATAAATTATTTAAAAAAAATACATTCACCATAAATCTATTATAACTTAAACGATTTCTGCTCTTATTATTGCTCTACTCCTACTCAAATGGATTTTTTTTTGTTTTCTACCATTCAAAGTCCAAAGTTTGTTTAAAGTAAAGGTTAAAAGTTTTTCCTTTTGCTTCTCAAAATGAAAAATTGAAATGTTTTCTTTAAGTATGTACATGCATACATATGTACACATAACAAAAAAAATTTCAAATTCCAGGGTGTTCAAATTCTTGGATCCTAGAGTTCACAATCGATTGAAAATATTTAGAAGTTTTCTATCCAATATCTTTTTCTAAACTAAGTCCTTTAACTCATTTTTTATCTAATTTTAATTACAAATCACGAGTTGTAATTAATAGTAAAATAAATAGTGTTTGAATCACGATTTGAAATTATTCACAAAAGATAAAATGCTTAAACTTCAATTTTACATATTTTACGTCAAAATTTAAAAATATGTATGTATTTATTAAAACCTTAACATTTCATCAAACCATAATATAGAAATTAATAAATAATTAATATGTAAAACTGAACATATTATTTTTTTTTTTATGAAACCAAACCTTAAGATGATTGACATAAAAATTTTAAAATTTTTATTGATGTCAAAATGTTTAAGGCCTCAAGCCAACTAAATACTTTATTAATTTAAAATAGGAGCATTAAAGTACGTCAGCATTTAAATATATATACTTAAGTACTTAATCATTAACCATTCATCAAAAATCTAGCACATAATAAAATAAAATTATTAAGAATAAATTAAAATAGTATTTTTAAAAATATATTTTATATGCATATAAAAATATTGTACATAAAATTGTAAAATAGTATCAAGCATTTCAAATAATTAAGTAAAATACAACAACATTTGTTTACACATGCAATGATTTAGGGCGATTTTAATGTCTAGACAATCAACAATGAAAATTCTTGATCTTTTCCCTTTATATATTTTGCTTTATAATTATACTGACACAAAGATTTAATATTTTAATTTAAAAATTGAAGATAATTTAAAAATAAAAAAAAATAAATTTAATTGATTAAATGTCTAAACTTTTATGTTACTTTATTTAACAAAAATAACTTAATAATTTTTTTTTGCCAGATCGTCTAACTATAGTAAAACACTTTACAATAGCATTGATGAGAGTTTCTTGCAAGAAATTAATATTTGTTTTTGAAAATCTTGAATTACTTTGCAGATAACTAACTTCTTAGAAATTTTTAAAAAGAAGTTTATAAGAAAGTGCCTCATCTTTCACAGCCCTTCCTTTAGTACAACAAGACACTTTTTACACCTTTTAAAAATTAACCATGGCAAATACATTTACTTTTGGCAAAGTATTTGAGTTTTTAGGCATGGTTTGTTTTGAAAAATTTTCCCGGAAAATTATTAAAATATTTTATTAAAGAACCGGTAAACCTTTGAGAACCTTAACATTCGTACCTATAAAAAAAACAATTAAAGTATTATGACATTAAAGAATTTTATTTTTCTTTTCTATTACACGCAATTTTAATTAATATGCCAATATTTTAATTTTAAAATTGAGTTGATTTACATATACATA